GCGCTCCCCAGGGGCCGGCCTCGGCTGGCTGCGCTCTTAAAGGGGCCGGCGAGGAGAGGAGCCAGGCAGACAAAGGCAACCTCCCAGCCCGCCCCTGCGGGGCACACCCCCACCCCGGGCCTGGCCCAGCCCCTGGGCACTGGAGCGGGCTGGTCCGGCTCCCTGCACGGGTGGCTTTTATTGGACATTTGCAAAACATACAATCTGCGTTGGGATGTTGTTGAGGCCTACACGTGCCCGAGCACGTCAGCCCCGCAGGGCCTGTTCTGCTGGGGCCGTGGCTCGGATGGCAGGACTCGAGTGCCAGGGGCCGCCCGTGTCCCGGCGTGTGAAGCGGGGCGCAGCGGCCCGTTCCCCAAGAACGGAGCGAGCGCCTGCAGCTTTCAGGAGTGGGCGCGGGCGCCCCGGGCCTGAGCGTTGCAGCCTGCTTCTGTACTTAGACGTTTATTTTTTTCCTACCCGTCAAATATTAGTTATTTTGAAACCTCGTAGTCATGCAGGCGGCCGAGAGCAGTCTTGCTAAGGGAGTGGTTGGCTCGGCGGCCAGCTGAAACACGAGACGGGCGCTGCGTGGCCGAGTCCCGGGCGGGTCAGCCCAGACTTTCGTTTTTAAGTTACTGACTCAGTTTTACTGCGCGAGAATCTTGCAGGCCCACAACGAGTGGGTATTTTTAAGCGATGCCATGTCCCTTCCCAAAGGAAAAGGGTTATTCTTGCCCATAATGTCCCTCCCTCTTTTATTGAGCTGTAATCTCTGGGCCAGTCTTAAATGGCTTTTGGCTGTACCCCAGAGAGAAATGCATTCCTGTGACTAAGTCATAGCTGAAATACTGTAAGTGAAAGGCAAAAAAACAAGAAGCACTTCTGTCTTTGACTCTTGTGGCTGTGCCAGCGAGTGGTAACTTTGAGTCTTGACTGTATTTTAAAAGCAGTTTCTTACGCTGGCTCCGTTGTCAGTGCAGGTAAAGGCAGCACGGCTTGCTCTGCTTGGGACACTTGATATGTGGATCAGATGGGCCGTAAGTAGGGGTCCACCTGCATCACAGGGGGATTCATCCATTTTTGTAGGTTGATCACAGCGTGAAGTTCCAGCTCCATGGTCCACTTCCCTTGGCGCTGACTGGTAGAGAGGCGTTGCATGGGGAGCAGGGACGAGGGGGCAGCCGTGGCTTGCTTGCTGGTTGCTCTTGGTGCGGCGCTGTCCCGCAGTGCCGATTGGCAGAGGCCCCGGTGGGGGCATGAGGGGCAGCTGCTATCTCATCTGCTGCCCTCCCCACCAGCCAGGGCCTTCCCCTCCTGGCAGCGAGGACCTCTGGCTGGCACTGGGGAGCCAGCATTTTATTTATTTCTTTTGATTTTGCAGATAATCCTGGATTTCGCAGTTTCCGTGAAATCCACGAATGACATAGGTCCCAAAGCCCAAGGCTTGCTTAGACTGGCTTCAAGTGTACGTGGGCCATGGGACGTCTAGAATTAATTCCTACTTCAGGTCTAGATGTAGCTGAACATTAGCATATCTATTTTTCTAAAACATGAAGTCCTGTTTAAAAAATGGCTGGTGGTAGGGAACCCACTGGAGAACTTGTAAGTCGTTCCTGTGGTTAATTACTCTCGCGGGTAAAAATACACTCGCTGATTCTAATCTGAAATGGTCGAGCCTCAGCCTCCCATTTTCATATGCACATCTGAAGGCACCCTCTAGTATGACATTTCTCTTCGGGCATATGAGAAGCAACGGGTGCTTGGTGTTGTGATATCTTTTACTGGAGCAGCTGTATAGTTGGGCAAGCTATTGGGCAGTCCTGACGGGGGAGGACATATTTTATGCCCAGAAGCTTGTCCAACATCTCTCCCAATTCTACAGTCAGTTTGATTAAAAGATATTATAAAACCCTCGCCTCATTTTCCTGGGCTGTCGCAGCTACAACACCACTCTTCCCATATAGATCGTTGTGGCCAAATCAGCAGTTAACCTCTTTGAACTAAAGGGTGAGAGACTCAAATATACTATACACTGAGGTTCTTAACTAGTCTTTACTTATTCTTAAACCCTCTCCAATTTTCAGTGTTGTTCTTGGGGTGTGCCCGCCAGAACGGGACGCAGTTATTCCAGTAGGATTTGCATCAGGGCTGAGTGCAGACTTTTCCTACTCGACTTTCCTTTGTTCATGCAAGTAAGGCTTTCCTTAGGCCTTTTGGCTGTAATGCAGCAGTGCAAGCTGCCGCTCAGTTGACTTTTCCACCGTGACTCATGCATCTCTTTCTACCCTAAGCAGCAAGGACTTTGAATCTCCTCTCCTGCACATATGGCATGCATTT